GACTACGGCTCCTGCGGACGCCCATTCCGCACTTTTTCACCGGAATCAGTACGACCACAGACCACCGAGACCCCTGCAGACACAGGTCACCTCCGAGGCCTTGGCAAAGAAGGCCTCAAGACGCGATCTCCAAAGACCGGCTAGGCCTCGACACTCCACGAGCACGACATGTCACCTACAATGGAGGCCATACTCGACTAGACGTCAACAAGGACCCTTACGACTTCAACAAATTTCGGGCATGGGCTGCGTGGCGCACCGGTGATCAAGTACCAATTACCATTCCCGACCTTCGTGTTGCTACGGGAATAGAGTCAAGATCTTGGATCTTCCTTTTCGCTAAGACTCCACGTGTAACTCAATCATGTACTCTGGCTCCCTCCTTGTGGCTATAAAAGGAAGCGGCCAGGCCGTTTTAGGATCGGAAAAAACCACGCTGACCCTCACGCAAAAAACGCACTCACTCAATTCACGCTTGCGCCCCCGCGCTTGCTCGAGAGCAACGACTCAAGCAGCCCTCACCACTCCACGCCGAGAGACACGGGACTAGCTCCCTCTCTCATCCGACTTGTAACCCTCTACTACAAGCACTTGATTGCAAGGAATACAAGATCGATCTCCTAGACTGGACGTAGGGCGCCGATTGCCTGAACCAGTATAAACCTTGTGTCTCTTTGCATCACCATCCGGGACTAGGGGCACGCAGTTCACATTTACTGGTTGGTTGAGGACTCCCGGTCCGAAACACCGACACTTCCACTTGATCTTCATTTAAGGTATTGATTCCTTTTATCTTCACCATAGCCTATCTCAAGTTCATCTCTTGCATCTATAAAAACTAAATGCCTTGTATGCTAGTAAACATTGTTAATCATAATAGTTATGTTATCATTCAACTATCAAAATCACTAAACACTTGATAGGGTCCATATTCCATACATGTATGATTCCCATAATCCAAAAAGTAATTTTGCAATATCCTCTTGATGTGCTCAAGTGTTAAACAAAAGCATTAGAGGGGTGCACACCTTTGGTTTCGAGAATCATATTTCATACTACAATAGCACTCATTCATTTCAAACACTTCAATTTCTCTAGCTTTGGTCGATTTCTAAAAAAATTTATATTAACAACTACAAGTTCAAATAAATGAATTGTAAAAAGTTATTTTTATAGAAATATCAAAGTGTAATTTGACGTTGTAAGTAGTGTATGATTTTTCTATAATAAATTTTTGAACTTTTTTCTACAATATTTTTTTTAATAATAGAAGTCAACGAACTCCTGTAAACTCCGATATACGAGTACTCTCTCAGTCCCTAAATAACTATCGTTTTTGCTTCTCGAGAAACAACTTTAACTAAATATATATATAAATGTTAATATTTATGGTATAAAATTAATATCATTGGATAGATCATTGAATCTATTTTCATAATAAATTTATTTATAGAGATACAAATGTTTCATGTATTTTCTGCAAATTCAATCAAACTTAACACAGAAAAAAAGATAGTTATCTCTACTATAATTGAAAACTCAACGCTCCCGTCACCGAAAAAAATAAAAAAAAAACAAACGCGCCGAGGACGCCGCCACCGCGGAAATCTTCTGATCGCGAAAAAAACCGACGTTAGAAACCTTCATGTAGCCGTCGCCGCCGCCGCCTCTTCCCTTCCTCCTCCCGACCTTGAGCTACGCCAGAGCTGCCGGCGCCTCCTCCGTCGGCGGGTGCCGCCCGCCGAAAGCGATTCAAGCTCCGCCCCTTCGGACCAGCTCCATGCAGAGTCAAAGCTCCGCCCTGTCGAGCGAAGGGCTCTGAACAGCAGAGTCAAGCTCGCCGAAAGCAGCTCGCGGCCGAGTCCGGCGTCGCCCCGCCGCTTGATCTAGAGTCGCCTGCGTTGTCCTCGCATCAACGGCGCCTCCTTCCTCCTTCCTCCTCGCATCAACGGCAGATCCGTGGCTTACCGGTGATGCGGATCTCGCGAGCCTGGCGGCTCCTCTCGAGTTCTAGCGGTGGCGGCGACCTCTCCACCTTCCATGCGAAGCGGCTCCCCATCTCCGATGGCGGGCGGCTGTCTCACCTGTGAAGGCGCCCGACCATCGCGAAGGACGCCTAACGCGGTGCATGGCTACCGAGATCCGGCGCTACTGCATCGTCCCCGACCTTGAGATCCTCGCGCTTCCCGTCTCTGCCGAACATTTCGCCTTGGTTGTGTTCATTTGCCGCCGGCAAGGGGCGGTCGCGCTGGTCGCTGCCTCTGCCTGTCGTTCTCGGAAGAACTCTGCCTCGGTGAGCTATGTCCTTCCCCTGCCTTCTGATCGTCCAGAACCCAAACACTGCCCAGCTATGTGGCTGTGCTGTGACAGCGATGGATATTCGTGTTGATTATGGATGGATGTGCTCAAGTGTTAAACAAAAGCATTAGAGGGGTGCACACCTTTGGTTTCGAGAATCATATTTCATACTACAATAGCACTCATTCATTTCAAACACTTCAATTTCTCTAGCTTTGGTCGATTTCTAAAAAAATTTATATTAACAACTACAAGTTCAAATAAATGAATTGTAAAAAGTTATTTTTATAGAAATATCAAAGTGTAATTTGACGTTGTAAGTAGTGTATGATTTTTCTATAATAAATTTTTGAACTTTTTTCTACAATATTTTTTTTAATAATAGAAGTCAACGAACTCCTGTAAACTCCGATATTCGAGTACTCTCTCAGTCCCTAAATAACTATCGTTTTTGCTTCTCGAGAAACAACTTTGACTAAATATATATAAAAATATTAATATTTATGGTATAAAATTAATATCATTGGATAGATCATTGAATCTATTTTCATAATAAATTTATTTATAGAGATATAAATGTTTCATGTATTTTCTGCAAATTCAATCAAACTTAACACAGAAAAAAAAGATAGTTATCTCTACTATAATTGAAAACTTGAGACTCATAAACGCTCCCGTCACCGAAAAAAATAAAAAAAAAACAAACGCGCCGAGGACGCCGCCACCGCGGAAACCTTCTGATCGCGAAAAAAACCGACGTTAGAAACCTTCATGTAGCCGCTGCCGCCGCCAGCCGCCTCTTCCTTCCTCCTTCCGACCTTGAGCACGCCCGGGCTGCCAGAGCCTCCTCCTCCGTCGAGCGGGCAGCGCCGCCGAAAGCAGATTCAAGCTCCGCTCCTTCGGACCGGCTCCATGCTAGAGTCAAAGCTCCGCCCCTGCCGAAGGGTCGCGAACAGCAGAGTCCAAGCTCGCCGCCTGAAAGCAGCGACTGGCGCGAGTCGGCGTCGCCCGCCGCTTGATCTAGAGTCGCTGCGTTGTCCTCGCATCAACGGCGCCTCCTTCCTCCTTCCTCCTCGCATCAATGGCGATCCGTGGCTACCATGCCGTGATGCGGATCTCGCAATAGCAGCGGCGGCTCCCTCCAGAGTTCTAGCGGTGGCGGCGACCTCTCCACCTTCCATGCGAGCGGCTCCCCATCTCCGATGGCGGCGCGGCCTGTCTCGCGCGGAAGGCGCCTGACCATGCGAAGGACGCCCCAACGGCTGTGGCCACCGAGATCCGGCGCTACCTGCATTGTCCCCGACGCCCGAGATCCCTCGCGCCCCGTCTCTCTGCTGAACAGCTCAGCCTTTGGTGTGTCTTATTGGCCGCCGCCGGGCGGGTCGCGTTGGTCGCCTCTGCCTGTCATTCTCGGAAGAACTCTGCCTCGGTGAGCTATGTCCTTCCCCTGCCTTCTGATCGTCCAGAACCCAAACACTGCCCAGCTATGTGGCTGTGCTGTGACAGCGATGGATATTCGTGTTGATTATGGATGGAAGAATAACGAAATTGAGATTGGGATGAGAAATTTGCTGATTTGTGATGGGGAGGAGTGGGAAATCACATTGAGATTGTTTTATCGGTTGATCTGTAGGTGTAACTTTCTTCTCAGTTCCTCTATAGTCTGTAGTGGTAGCCTACCACTGCATGTAGTCTAGGTGTTTGATAAAATGCTTATTTTAGGGCAGAATAGGGGAAGATGGACATAGGCAGGCGTGTTAATCATCTCTGCAAATGGCATCAGATAAAATTATCTCTACAAATGGTTTTAGAAAAGAGTATGTTGGTGTACCTTTTCTACTAAGAGTATGCTTGATACTTTTTTAGATCATAGTACCATGTGATACTTTCTACTATATGTTATAGTATCACTTGATACTTTTCAGATTGTAGTATCTCCTGATACTTTTAAACATATAGTATATTTTAAGATTGTAGTAGTATCTCGTGATTTTTTTTCACATCATAATTTTTTCAGCTTGTAGTATCTTCCAGTACTTTTTGGGAGCTAACCTACCGAGACTGGAGGCCAAAAAGCAATAGTTGAGGATGCAGAACTTGATCATTGACAAACGTGAATCTTAATGAATTTGATTGTTCTTTGTATATAATTTCATGAAGCCATGGGATGGTGTAAGATTGCCACTGATCATCACTGTAAACATATATTATTTAACTATATTCCGTACACTACATACAAAATTAATAATTTAACTTATTATATCTATCATGCATAGCTATTAAATTCACTGAGGATGAAATTTTTGGGGGGACATTCTTAAGAGCCATGCAAACGAATGTTTTGACAACTTTCCTGAAAATCTTCAAGTCATGATCAAGGACTTGGACAGAATGTAACTTAAATGGTTATACGAGGAAAAAACTTTACTATGACTTCTTAGTTTTCCGGATTGTATACATGCTCAAAGATATTGTGTAAAAATTAAACTATGAAAAAAAAATATTGGTTATTTTTATATGTGTCTTCAAGATAAATTTGTTATGTTAGCATGAATATTATACTAGTTTATTTAGGGACGGACTAGCACCAAATCACACAGGTGAAGTGCAGACTGTGGAGCCGCTGTAGACTCCCCCTGCGCAGCGTCACTTCGCTCGCTCCTCTCCATCCCGACAAGTCAAATCCGAACCCACAGCGAGAAATGGCGGCGGCGGCGCTCCGTCCGGCGATCCTCCGCCGCATCCGCCTCTCCCCCTCGCCGTCGCTCGCCCTCGCGGCCGCTGGGGCAGGGGCGTCCCACCCGCACGCGCTGGCGCGGTGGCTCGCGCCGCGGCCCATGTCCTCCCACGACGCGCACCTCACACGCGAGGAAGTCGTCGACCGCGTCCTCGACGTCCTCAAGTGCCACCCCAAGGTCGACCCCTCCAAGGTAACCGAACCCCTCCACCCCAATCCCGCATCTCGATGGCGTCGAGCCCCCACAAAATCCTACTAACCCTAGGCTACTGTGGCGGCGGCGGCAGGTGACCCCGGAGGCGCACTTCGAGAAGGATCTGGGGCTGGACAGCCTGGACACCGTCGAGGTGGTCATGGCCATCGAGGAGGAGTTCAAGCTCGAGATCCCCGACATGGAGGCTGACAAGATCGACTCGCTCCCGCTGGCCATCGAGTACGTCGCCAACCACCCCATGGCCGGCTGAGCCTCTGCTCGACAGAGGGGAGGCGAGGCTTCTCTTGGTTTTGTTTCCGAGGGCAAATAATCGGCCGGAGTGGCACAAGAAAACTTGTCCCTGGTGCTCTGCATTGCTGCACGGTGACGGATGATGATGTCGAAATGGAACATTAACATTTTGTTTTTTTTTGGTTAAGATGCAATGCAATGTTAGGTTGCTGTTTTTGTGTGCGTGTTATATCTATATACTGGTTGACAAACTAGTTTGGTTGATTGCGACTCGGCTCATTGTTTGATTGATTATTTGAATTGGGTTCCTATGATCTTTTATCAGTTTTTTCCATTTTTTGGGACCTAAAATTGATAAGAAAATAGTGGTTGGTTGCTTACGGGGATTGATTGGTTCATTTTTGGAACCGGAGGCCTCCCTCATTTCCATTATGTATATAACGGAAATACAAAGCATCTAGAGATGTTTCAGAGTAGATGAGACAGTTAAGGAGAATATTACATCCAGATCGGACTTCAAACCTACTCACAGACATTTCTCACCATCTACTAAAAACTGTCAAACTTTGTGATCGAGGACTTCCCCAGAACGATTAGCAACAGCTAGAAGCAGACGAAGTAGCAGAAGAAAACAAGCAAGGAGTGAAGGGGGCATCCAATGACTGCACCCACAAAAGCGAAGAACGCCATCAGGCTTAACAAAAAACATTTCGTCAGAAAATGGCCGGACTTCCTGTGTTTGCTTCACAGGCCGCTCTCAAGCTTCATATCAGGTTGCATCATTCCCATCCTGAGGTCCCTGCAACAGATTCTGAACACCAGATCCCCGCTTCCTCTTCTTTGTCAGCTTCAGCGCTATCTGCAGCATCGTGTTGATTCCAGCTTCCAGTGCCGCCTTATCATCATCCACGAAGAGGCCTGCCCAGTAACTCATAAGGGCGCATGCATAACATACGATCGAAGCAGGATCATGTAAAGCTTTGCCTTCAAAACGTGTTTTATTACGGGTTTTCCATATAGCCCAACAAACAGCCGCAATACCCATAGTATGAAATTTCTTTCCGATCAGAAGCCATCTTTCATACCATACCCATCATTGATCCAAAGATCTGGGGATGTTACTAGCTCCTAAACTGATGGCAACAATAGCCCAAACAGCCTTAGCAACACTACATTGAAACAAAAGATGATTTGCAGATTCAGGTTGATTACAAAAGTAACATGATGGATCACCCTGCCATTTTCTCTTGATCATGTTATCTTTAGTTAGAATAGCATTGTTAAGAGTCATCCACAAAAATATCTTAATCTTAGCAGGAATCTTGCCTTTCCAATTTTTTATATGATAAGGCCCAGTATCATTCATAGTTAAGGCATTGTAGACAGATTTCACCGAAAAACGTCCGTTACAACCAAATTTCCATTTGACAAAATCCACACCATCACACAGATGAACATTAGCAAGTCATGAACAATTTTCTCCCAATTTTCTTTCCATATATCAACTAACCATCTAGAAAAGGTAACTGACTGAATATCTGTTTTGACTTGAAAAACAGTAAGGTCAGATTGTTGGCACATAGCAAATAAATCAGGATAAAGTATACACAGCGGTTGATCATACAGCCAGATATCTTTCCAGAAGAGTGTTCTTTGCCCATCCCTTACATTGAGCTTTCTTCCTTGTAGATAAATTTTCCTAACCTTGAGCAAGTCAGCCCAAATGGGTGAGTCGGTCTGCCTGTGTTTCACAGTACAGATAGATCCATCTTTGATGTATTTGAACTTCACAATTTCTTGCCATAGCCCTTGTTCATTATCTAGTTTCCACCACCACTTACAAAGGAGACTAATGTTCATTAATCTAATATCTTTGATCCCTAAGCCCCCTTCTTTTTACTTTTACAAATCTTAGGCCATCTAATCAGGTGATATTTCTTTTTTGTTCCCCCTCCCTGACAAAAGAAAATCCTTCTGAGTCTATCAAGGTTGGCCACTACTGCTTTTGGCAGCAAATAAATTGACATCTGATAAATGGGGGCATTATTAAGGCTTGAATTGATAAGAGTGGTTCTCCCTGCAATTGACATATTTCCACCCTTCCAAACAGCTAATCTTTTCTTGCTTTTTTCTTCCAGAGGTAACCAGTCTATAACATGTAATCTACTCGGGCTTACAGGTACCCCTAGGTATTTGATAGGGAAAGTGCCAAGTTGACAGTTAAACATTTCAGCATATATCTCAGCCCAGTTTCCTCATCATTGATTACTATTACTTCACTTTTATGAAAATTATTTTTTAAGCCAGCCATCAATTCATACATGTACAGGAGTAGCTTCAAATTTCTAGCCCCTTCAAGACTGTGTTTTAAACATACAATGGTATCATCAGCATATTGTAAAACAGCTACCCCTTTATCCACAATGTGATCAATTAGGCCACAAAAGAGATCATTTGATTGAGCTTTCAAAATCATTCTAGATAAACCATCAGCCACAAAGTTAAACAAGATTGGTGACAGGGGATCTCCTTGTCACACCCCTTTATAACTTTTAATATAGGGCCCAATAAGATCATTCATTTTAACACTTACTGTCCCACCTGTCACAACTTGTTCAATCCACTTACACCATTTGGAACAAAAGCCTCTAGCTGCTAGACATTCAAGTAAGAACCTCCAGCTCACCTTGTCATATGCTTTTTCAAAATCAAGTTTTAGGATCAAACCAGTTTGCTTCCTTCTCTTGGTTTCATGTAAGATTTCATGAAGTACCATGATACCACTCATAATATTCCTGCCCTTCATAAAGGCAGTCTGATTTGAATGAATTAGTTTATCAGCAATCTTTTCCAATCTTAATGTTAAAGTTTTGGTTATCAACTTATATATACAATTCAACAAACAAATGGGCCTAAATTGTTGAATCTTAGCAGCATCACTAACCTTAGGTAAAAGAGTTATGATTCCATAGTTGATTCTACAGATATCAACCTTTTCTCTGTGAAAGTCATCAAAAAGTTGGATAATATCATTTTTCATAATTTCCCAGCAAACTTGATAAAACTCAATTGGTATTTTGTCTGGGCCTGCAGCCTTATTTTTCTCCATTTGAAATAGTGCATCTTTTATTTCTTTTTCAGAAAAAGGTTGACACAGAATTGTATTTTCATCCTCAGATACATGATCCAGCTCATCCCACAATCCCTGATCAATATGAATGTTATGATTGTTCCCAGGTCCAAACAGCTCAGAATAATACTCTGTAGCATGCTTAAGTAAATTATCATCCCCTTCAATGATTTATCCTTTTTCTAGTGATATAACAGTGCCTTTTCTTCTTCTGCCATTTGCAATCTTATGAAAATAACTAGTGTTACAATCCCCTTTCAACAGCCATTGCTCATGGCATCTGTTGAACCAGTATGTTTCCTCTTGATCTAAAAGTTTTAAATTTTCTTTTATCAATTCTACTTTCCTGAGCAGCTGCTCAGACTCAAGTCCCACATTTTCCTCAGTCTCCTCCAATTCACTTAGCTCAGTACTTTTTTTCTTATCTCACCTTGTAAATTAAATCTCCAGCCTTTGAAGTACTGTTTCAGCATCTTCAGTTTTTGCTGGATTTTATCTAAAGATGTTTTGGCTCTACAAGGTTTATCCCATATTTTCTTGACAGCTTGAATAAAATCAGGGTTGGACAACCAATGTAGTTCAAACTTGAATTGTAAGTGTCTCAAATTCTTATCAGGGCCACATGAGAGTATTAAAGGGTTGTGATCAGAAACATCCCTAGGAAGCTTTTTTACCAAAACATTGGGGAAGATATCTTCCCATTCTTTGTTTACCAGGATTCTATCCAATTTTTCTAATAAAGGGTCCTCCTGGTTACTTGACCAAGTGAACATCCCACCAGTCATAACCAGTTCTCTTAATTCATGAAAGTCAATCAAGGTGTTAAACATGCCAGAGAATCTCTGTGCACCACCAGGTTTATTTCTCTCACTAGTATATCTTATAATGTTGAAATCACCCCCTATTAATATTGGATATTTATTTCTTGAGCAAAATGCAGATAACTCAGTAAGAAAATTCATCTTGTTATCATCATGGGCAGCCCCATATACAATCAACAGATTCCATTTTGTTTTATATTTCTTGTCCCACAAATTTAATTGTAGCATGAAATCACCTTGATGAAAGGATCCAACATAAAAAAATTCCCTCTTAGCACCCACCAGAATACCACCAGACTTTCCTTTTGCTGGGTTATTAAGCCATAAATAATCTTGGTTGCAGTCAAATTTTCTAAGTATTTTATCATCACAATCTTGAATCATGGTCTCCTGAAGACCAATAAAGTGAAAAGCATACTGGGATATAAGATCTTTAAGAAATGCAGCAACACCTTTCTTCCTGAGACCCCTACAGTTCCAAATAAGCCCATTAAATCTCATCATTTTTTCCTAGCTTTGGAATTTTTGGATGGGTTGGCTTTACAAGGCCTCCCTCTTTTCTTTGGTTGGCCAGGATCTTCCTGGTCCAACTTTTTATTTCTTACCAAAGGAGAGTATCTTCTTATCTTTTTATTTTCCCTTCTTTTTTTCCTGGACTCCACCAAAAGGAAGTCCTCTGGTTCAGAGGATTCCTCATTCAACCATTCAAGCTCAAGCAGGTTAGAGTTGTTCCCCACAATCTCAACTGTTTCAGTTTGAGATTTTTTATTGTTTTCACACTGTTTCATATATAAATCATCCCTAGCCTTTTCTAAGTCTCTAATTAGCTCAAAAGTCTCAAAATCATCATGATTAATATTCACACCCATATTTGCAGAAATATGTATAATATCACCAGTGGGTAACATAGAAAAGGATGTGGGTTTTTTTGAGTTACCTTCCAAGTTTCTTTGCTGAGCCATCCTCTCATTTTTCTCCACTGTAGTCAGATTAGTGTCCTTCTTCAGTCTTTCACTCCTCCTTTCATTGAGCATTTGATCCTTATCCTCTTGATGTATCATCTTTTCA